GAAATGGTGTAAACAATTATAACATTTTGTAACATTTTTTCTTCTGATTAATGTGAGCACAGGAATATTGACAGCTTTGACTGCTTAGTAGCTGTATATAACATCACCCTTTTTGAAACTCAATTAAAATTACCTGCTTGAAAATGGTGCTGGTACCAGAGCCTTGCAGTCCAAAAAGAAGAAGCTTCTGAAACTTTTTTTTCAGCTCAAGATAACTCGGTACAGTCGTGTAGTTGCTAGACTCATCCTTTAGCCCATGAGGCTGACCTTGAGGAACAGGCAGAGAGAACAAGGAACACACGAACCGAGTTGATGCCTAAAGTGATAAGATTTGAGATGTCGCTAAACGTGATTCCACTGAAAAAAAATGCCTCTACAGTTGTAATTTATTTACGATAATCATATTTTTTGAAATCTAACCTTTTCCCAGATATTTCCTCTGATATTATTTTGGCCTTCCTCTTCATATCGACCGTCATCATACACCCAAAAATGGGTATCACGAGGGCATTGTACATTTGCAAGCTGAATACAAGCATTGATTGATTGAATTTCCGATATACCTAACAATTATTTAGACTATTCTATACTTAAGCTTTGGGTTAACATAATATAGAAATCAACAAACTGATGAGCATTTGATTCAAATACTTGACAACAAGTTTTTAAATTAAATTACCGTGCCAATCTCAATTGAAGTATATATAAGCAAGCTTTTCAGTCTTTATCGAAAAACAATATTGCCACAGCAGTCACTCTAACAAAGTTAAATAGATAAAAGATGCTTCAGCAAAGAGCTACAACTTTACTTTAGTGTAAAGCACCCCCATTTCTCCAGGTTTTTTGTTGCATCAACATAAAACAATCGACAAAACACAGTCAGACTTGGTAAATTCCCAGATTTACCAACCTTCAGTATTCTCAGCTCAAGCTTCGTAATTTCTCGACCATTCATGTACACCTCAGTATTCCCATTGCTCGCGCTCGGGCTTAGTTTACCCGTAAAATTTAAATTCGAACTAATAATTCTATCAGGCTTCTCTCCCTCCTGTCAAATTGAACACACCACAAACTGAATGACCACATTTTCCCTCACTTATTTAAAAAACAATAAATTAAAAAAAAAATTGAGTATACAAAAAATCTGTTATTTTTACCTTTCCCCAAAGACCCGATTCCTTATCATACCAATACCTGCCCGGCTTCAACTTCCTAGGCGGCAAAGGGCACCCGAAAAGCTCCGTCATCTCCTCCGGCTTCAAAGGATACCCGTTCACAATCAACTGCTCCGGCCGGAGCTGATTGGCCGCACACTCCTTCTCGGCCTTCATGATATGCTTAACCTCCAATGGGCTGAGCAAACGAGACAAAAGCCTCGAGTGCTTACCCAATCTGCACCTCTTCACCTCGTCAATCAGCTCCCCTATACACGTCACGCACTTACGTCCTTCGGGCATCGAGCCCATGGCCCGGAGCACACAGTTGCTGCAATATTTCGCATCACAAACCAAACAACTCTCTTTAATCTCCCACTTCCCTTTCCCGCACCTATAGCAAATCCTCGCCTTTTTCCTCTTTTTCTTCTTCTTCTTCTCCTTGGCTAAGCCCACCACAAATTCGGGGAAAACCTGCTTTTCCCTATCGGCCAATTGCCGCTCAGACCTATCAGCTGTGTTGAAAGTCACCACCATAGGCCGCCTTGCCTCGTTTGGAGGGTGGACCGAGCCCGGCGTGCCCGAGCCCGAGCCCGATCGTGAAGAGAAATCATCGTTCTGCAAAACGGACACAATTGACTCGGTGCTCTGGGACAGTCTTCTTCTGGGGAGGGGGATGGGCTCGATCACAGGAGCCGAGTCGCGGGCCACGGATCGTCTGGACTCGGAAAGCGGGTCGGCAGTTGGGATTTGGGCAGGGTTCAAGTCGAGGGGCTCGGCCTGTGGGATGTTGTCGTAAGGTACCGGAGGCCCATTGTACTCGAGGGCTATCGAGTAGTCCATTTTGTCGTCGTCCGGGATAGGGGCACCTGGTGGGAGCATCTTCCTGACCATATCCCTCCAGTTATCTGCCTCGTTATTCTCCATTTTTTTTTGCTAGAAAAGAACAATCGAATTCGAAAGAGATTTTCGAACAGAGGGTTTGAACAAGATTTGGGTGGAACACGCGGCAGTGAGTGATCTAGGAGGAAGATATTTCTTTCACCGACGACGAAGCAAAGATTAAACCTTTCTACGCCATGGCTAGATTTGGAAGCCTTCAAATCTGAAATGATTCAATCAAGTGCAGAATCTTGGAGTTTTAAAAAAAAAAAAAAAAACCCAGAGAAATCAACCGTCCGAGCGTGGACTTTTCAGCTAGAAAGGCATTCAAACATCTCTCAAGTCGCATAAAAAACGCACAGAGGGAAAAGGGCAGAGAAAAATCGAGAAACTTTCGAGTCAAAAATGGTAAACTTGTGAAAAGAAAGCTTTCAAGATTCTGAAATTTGAAAAATTCAGAGCACGAATTCGAGTAAAATACTAGATTTGTTTGTTAACCTCGACTTCCGTAGCCAACTTCCTCGCATGACCCGTAAATTCTACAAGTTTAACCAGAAAGCCAAGAACTTTTGTCACTCAGCAGCAGCAATTAAATAATCAAAGTAAACAATTTTCACCATTATTTTCCCTTTTAAATTGATGTCAAACAATGCATCTATATTAGGAAATCTCTTTAAATTGTAATGGGCAGACAGCAAAATTGCAAACCTTTGTTAACTTTTTGATAAAGATGTTGCAAAAGAAATGTGTGTAAGGTTGAAAAATGAAGACCTTTAATGAGCACACACATGTAGCTGAGAAAAGAGGACAAAGGGCAGGCAAATTAACAATGGGTGAGGTGAGTGAATCAAAAATCACAAGAGGGCTGTCGAGAAAATCAATAGCTTTACAAAAAAAGATCTGCTTTTTAAAAGCTTCAAAGCTCTGCTGTGAGCTCGACACAACCAAAAGCTCCCCTTCTGTAAAATAGTATAAAAATTATACTGTAAAGTACATTCGGTGATTATAGTGTATCTTGCATTTACATACACATGTTTTGTATGCATCTATACACATACATATAAGTTTTGCTGTGTGTGTGATGTGTAGATGAAGGTGGTGACAGAGAGAGAGTGGGTCCACGTGAGTGCACGGTTTTGGAGTTAGTGGTGTCCGTTGTGTTGTGATGATGAAGGTGAGATGTATATTTTTGACTGTGATGATGGAGCGTGTTTTACACGCTCGAGACTGCGGCTGGGCAATTGTGAGATTCACTGATGGACGCGGTTCGTGCCTCGTGGTGAAGATTTTGAAATATTATTGTAGAAGCACCTCATATTTAGCGTAATTGTAAATAAACCCAACTAAAAGTTCCTATTTCCAGTTTTTTCACGCAAAGTTGTTGGGTGGGATTGTTTGGCCACCATGTTGGACAAAACAAAGCCCATTTCTCAGACTCAGCAAGTTTGTTTATAGAAATTTTAAAAAATTTAGAATATTTTAATACAACTATTTTTTTAATTTAATTTTAATTCAATTTCACTATCATCAATATTATCAATATAATTAAATAATATCAATCAATAATTCATACACACCACATCAATCTTAATTCACTATTTATCCACTCGTATTATTTTAACTAATCATCATTTCAGATCATTTATCTCATATTTTTACATCAAATCAACTTTTATTATTTTAATTCAAATATTATTTTAATATAATCACTAACAACTAATCATACCACTTTTTTCAAAATTAACCAAATCAAACCAAAAAAAATCTAAACAAAACAAAAAAAAATATATAAAGTGAAATTTTGACTTTATATTAAAATAATATTTAAAATAAAATAATTACAGTTGATTTGATGTAAAAGTAAAAGTGGAAGACATATGTTGTGAGGGTAGCTTATTTAATTAAAAAATAAGAAAAATTTGTGCCGAAAAATAAAAGAAAAAAAATTGTTGTGGACAAGAATCAAACGGACGGATTTTGGAAATCCGTTTTTTATTTAAAAACGGATTTCCAAAATCCGTTTTCTTTTTTTTTTTTTTTTTCAAAATGCATTTTTAATTTTTTATTTTTAGATCGGATATTCGGATTGTGAAATTCGGGTTCGTTAGGGCTCGTCCGAACTCGAAATTGAGTTCTGTTTTTTCCTACATGTCGCCAACGAAGCCTTCTAAATATTTATGCTTTCGAATCTAATTTATTCTTGAATACCTATTCTCCCAAAGCTCTTGACCTGAAGTTGGCAGCTTTCGTGCACAACTTCGCATATCGAGCCCGTTCGGACTCGTCCGAACTCGAAATTGAGTTTCGATTCTTTGTACATATCGCCAACGAATCCTACTACTAGAGCATGCTTTTATGACTAATTTTTGGGCTGGAAGTATTCCTTGCGGGGCTTCCGGCCAAAAACGGGGAAAAAGAATAAATAAAACGAAGAAAACTAGCAAAATTCGGGCTCGTTTGGGCTCGTCCGAACTCAAATTGAATTCTGTTTTTTTTTTTCGTACATGTCGCCAACAAAGCCTTGTGTATAATTATGCTTTCAAATCCAACCTATTCATGAAAACCTATTATCCCAAAGCTCTTGACCTGAAGTTGGCGGCTTTCTTGCACGACTTCGCATATCGGGACCGTTAGGACTCGTTCGAACTCGAAATTGAGTTTCAATTCTTCCTACATGTCGCCAACGAATTCTACTACTAGAGAATGCTTTTCTGACCAATTTTATGGCTGTAACTATTCCTTCCGGGGCTTCCGACCTAAAACGGGGAAAAAGAATAAATAAAGAAAAAGACTAGCAAAATTCAGGCTCGTTTGGGCTCGTCCGAACTCGAATTTGAATTTCGTTTTTTCCTACATGTAGCCAACGAAGCCTTCTATGTAATTATGCTTTCAAATCCAACTTATTCCTTAAAACATATTATCTCAAAGCTCTTGACCTGAAGTTGGCGGCTTTCTTGCACGACTTCGCATATCGTGACCGTGAGGACTCGTCGAACTCGAAATTGAGTTTCGATTTTTCTACATGTCGCCAACGAATCCTACTACTAGAGAATGCTTTTCAGACCAATTTGTGGGCTGGAACTATTCCTTGCGGGGCTTCCGGCCCGAAACGGGAGAAAGGAATAAAAAAACGAAGAAGACTAGCAAAATTCAGGCTCGTTTGGGCTCGTCCGAACTGGAAATTGAATTCCGTTTTTTCCTACATGTCGCCAACGAAGCCTTCTATATAATTATACTTTAAAATCCAACCTATTATTGAAAACCTATTATTCCAAAGCTCTTGACCTGATGTTTGCGGCTTTCTTGCACGACTTGTCCAAACTCGAAATTGAAGTCAAATTACTATAATCAAAGTCAAATTAGTACAACCGAAGTCAATTATGGTGTAGTCGAACTCGAATTAGTCCAATATAAAGTCAATTAGTACAATATCAGGCAATTATGGTGTAATCAAACTCGAATTAGTCCAATTAAACTCAAATTAGTACAATCTCGGTCAATTATGGTGTGATCGAACTCGAATTAGTCCAATTGAATTTAAATTAGTACATTTTTGCAAGTTTTTTTTTTCGTTTTTCTTCTTGTTTTCCACCGTTTTAGGTCGGAAGCACCGCAAGAAATATTTTCAGCCCAAAAAATTTCCCTAAAAGCATTCTCAAGTAGTGGGATTCGTTGGCGACATGTAGGAAGAATCGAAACTCAATTTCGAGTTCGGACAAGTCCGAACGGTCCCGATATTCGAAGTCGTGCAAGGAAGCCGCCAACTTCAGGTCAAGAGCTTTGAGATAATAGGTTTTCAAGAATAGGCTGGATTTGAAAGCATAATTACATAGAAGGCTTCGTTGGCGACATGTAGTAAAAAATAAAATTCAGTTTCGAGTTCGGACGAGCCCAGACGAGCATGAATTTTGCTAGTCTTCTTCTTTTTTTATTCTTTTCCCTCGTTTTAGGCCGGAAGCCCCGTAAGAAATAGTTTCAGCCCGCAAAATTGGTCAAAAAGGCATGCTCTAGTAGTAGGATTCATTGGAAACATGTAGGAAGAATCGATACTCAATTTCGAGTTCAGACGAGTCCTAACGGTCCCGATATGCGAAGTCGTGCAAGAAAGCCACTAACTTCAGGTCAAGAGCTTTTGGATAATAGGTTTTCATGAATATGTTAGATTTGAAAGAATAATTATATAGAAGGCTTTGTTGGCGACATGTAGGAAAAAACGGAATTCAATTTCAAGTTCGGACGAGCCCAAACGAGCCCGAATTTTGCTAGTTGTTTTCGTTTTTTTATTCTTTTTCCCCGTTTTTGGAAGAAAACCCCGCAAGGAATAGTTCCAGCCCAAAAATTGGTCAAGAAAGTATGCTCTAGTAGTAGGATTTGTTGGCGACATGTAGGAAAAATCGAAACTCAATTTCGAGTTCGGACGAGTCCGAACGGGCCCGATATGCGAAGTCGTGCACGGAAGTTGCCAACTTCAGGTCAAGAGCTTTGAGAGAATAGGTTTTCAAGAATAAATTAGATTCGAAAGCATAAATACGTAGAAGGCTTCGTTGGCGACATGTAAGGAAAAACGGAACTCAATTCTGAGTTCAGACGAGCCTTAACGAGCCCGAATTTAACAATCTGATCTAAAAAATAAAAAAAAAAATGAAAAATCCATTACCAAAAAAAAAAAAAAAAACGGATTATGAAAATCCGTTTTTCAAATAAAAACGGATTTTCAAAATCCGCCTGTTTGATTCTTGTCCACATCAATTGTTTTTCTTTTATTTTTTGCCACATAATTTTTTCTTTTTTTAATTAAATAAATGATTCTATGTTGTGAAGTAATTGTTAGCTAAAATTATGTGAATTGGTGAATAATAAATTACAATCGATGTGATGTGTAAGAATAATTAGATAGTATTATTTAATTATATTAATAATATTGAACATAATGTAGTTAGGTTAAAGTTGAATTAGATTGAGTATAAACTGAGTGTGAATGGAATATATTTTCATATACAAACAATGGCAAAAATTCTATTAAATCGTGTCCAAAGTGTATTTATTGTAGGACACGTGTCAATACACTATTTGTGAATAACTGTGGAGGACTCCATAAGTCGAGCCATCCGATGTCTCCATAGCAAAACTACAAACAATGGTTTTATTTTTTTTTTAAGAAAAAAACAAAATACTTGTCAACCAATCACTAAGGGGGTGATCGGATATGGATTCAACTAGAAAAAAAAAACTAGTTTTTTTTAAGTATAGTTAAATTTTAGAAAAAGTAGTATGGTTAGTTGTTAGTGGAATATTAAAATAATATTTAAATTAAAATAATTAAAGTTGATTTGATGTAAAAGTATGAGGAAATGATTGAAAGTGATGGTTAGTTAAAATTATATGAGTGGATTAATAGTGAATTAAAGTTCATGTGATGTGTACTATTGATTGGTTAATATTATTTAATTATATTGATAA